CATTTATTTTCATTTTTTTGCCTTAGTTTCGACCTTTACTCGGGTCATTTTCAGCGCCTGGGTAAATTACAAAACATATGTTGATTGGAACAAATACAATTTAAGAAGTAAACATAAATTTTGACCCAAGTATTTCATACTCACAGTGTGGTGCTATTCTTGTGGTGTCATATTGGTTTTGTGTGAAAGTGTTGTGAAACGTGAATTTGTATTGCGCTGTTTTTATGTGATTGTGATGATTGTGACAAGGCGGGGAACGCGATAAATCTGGGAAATTTTCTTTGATCATAGGCGGTTTTATTTAACACAAAGGGAGTCTATAATGGGGATTTTCTGGTTTGGATTTGTGATTCTGGGTTGATCAATATTGGAAAGGAAGTTAATTGTTAAGGACGGTAACGAAGGAAATGGAAATATACAATTAAGGTTTAATAGTTTATTTGCTTTATGATGTTAGCTCATTTTGCATGTATCTGTTCTGTAATTAATGTTGTGAATGTCTCTGTTAATACAAACCATTTCTAGAAAGTTGCGTTTGTATTTGTTTTTTTTCCGTGTTTAGTATTTGTATTTTGTCGAAATCAAAATTGTGTTTTTAAAAGTGGTGTGTGGCCAATGCTGTAATGATATGAAATACTTGGTCCCCCCCCCCGAGGGTTCGCAACAGCAGAGGTCATATACCCTCAGGGTGCCGGTGTTTTTGAAAAAAAGCCCATCTGTAAGTATGTCGGGTTCGAATGCAGGGCCGCTGGATTCGAACCCGGGACCTTCACCTTACAGTGATGAGCGCCGTGTCTACGCCTAACCGCCGTTGACGCTCCCATCTTGGTTGTTTTATATTATCTTTTTCAAGCCCTGAATATGACCCGAATAAAGGTCGAAATGTCGGCCAAAAAATTAAAAAGGTGTTTTTTCTAAACTACCTCATTCTTGAACGCTCTTCACGACTTCAAAAAATTATGAAACAACTCACTAAGAAACACGCATTAATAGCAATGTGTGTTTTTTAGCGACCGGTTGTTCAATAATTTGTTCAAGTCGTGAGGAGCGGTTAGGAATGAAGTATTTTAGAAAAACAACTTTATTATTTTTTTGCCGACGTTTCGACCTTTATTTTTATTTATTAACCAGCAGAATACCAATTCACGTTTCACAACAATTTCACGCTAAACAGATATGACACCAAATAACACCACACTTTATGTTAGTATGAAATAAGTGGTTCAAAATGTATATTATTATTTACATCTGTGATGGATTTTTTCCAATCAACATATAGTTTGATAATTCGCCCAGGCCCTGAAGATGACCCGAATAAAGGTCGAAATAAAGGCGTTTTTTTTTTTAATATTCGTTGCTGACCGCTCCTCACGACTTCAACAATTGATTAATAGCAATCAGAAATCAACTATGTAAATACTCATGTCAACTAATGTATTCATAGTCATGGTTAATACTATTTTTTTTTTTAATTCTATTGTAAACAAAACTGTTGGAAGGTTGTTATAATATAAAACATTTTGCATTATTATATTGGTTTAAAAAATTGATTGATTGTCCAAGAATAAAAAATTCACCCTGAATGAAATAAAATACGTGATGGATTTGTATTATAAATTCAAACTTTACCGGAGGTACCTAAGGTCGAGTAATTAAAACTATTTTTATTTCGCTGACGTCAAAATAAACTATTCCTCCCTCTCTTTAGCAACGGGAGGATCGAAGCTCACCGTGCCCGATCTCAAAACACTGGCCCTTTTTGTCGTAGGAATTGCACAAAATTTTGGCACGGAGTAAGGAAACGGAATAAGACTTGGCCAAATTTCAAAGAACGGCTGAATTATGTATTAAATAAAGCGACGGCCATGACCCGAGCATGTCGTTCGCCCTCCCGTCGAGGCGGCGAAGACAAATGTGTGGAAAGCCGCTCCGTAAGTAGCGATTATTCCGTTTGATTATAAAAGATAATGGATTAGCCAATCGATATGGCGTGTGCGGTCCCACTCTGATCAAAGTTCGCACATAAAACGAGACGAAAGTTTATGTGCACCGGCATTGACTCGACGCTTTAAGGCTTTTTGCCAGTAGATCCTTGGATTATTTCTAGGTTCAATGTTAAAACGAGAGAAAAACAATTACAACGGGCGAAAAAAGCCATCGCATGTCCGTCGAGACAATACACAAGATTTAAGTCATGTTTTATTCAACCCTCTAGAAAAACAAATGCAGAAATAGGCTTAATAAATAAAACTAGACTGGGGCAGTGTTCATTGATTTTTCACAAGGGCTTAATACTATCTTCAGAATGCAAGACGGTTGAGTTGTATATAGTTCAAAATCTAAACATCCAGCAAAAAAAATGATTATAATTTCGCGATTGTGACTGATATTTAAGTAGAATCAATTGTATTATTTATAAGGGGAGTGCGGATTCTTTGAGCCATTACAAACCGAGTTGTTTTTCTTTTGTAATCAACATGGCATTAAATTACAAGTATTATTCATTTATATGTACATACGGATCAAAGACCCTTTTATAAATAATATAAATCATGAGGTTATATACAATTTAAGTAGCAAATAAACGAAATTGATAAAATAACAAGAACAAAACTACATAATAATAATAATAATAATAATAATAATAATAATAATAATAAAAATTCAGATGAAAAAAATCAATTCAATTTCCTTCTCTCCTTACTCTATCTATCGGTGAATAAAATATGTATTTTTTTTCTCTTCTTTTGCGGTTGACTTTTTATATTTCTTGGGTTTCAACAATGTGAACATTTCATACAAACTATTTATGTAACATTAATTTTATTAAAAACTTTTAAATTATTACTAAGAATTATTTGAATATGAAATATAATATTATATATAGTATATATAATAAAGTGTAATAAAACCAAATAAAACAATTTTAGATAGCAATAAATGTAAACACTATGTGAATAAAAAAGAAAAAATGCAAAAAAAAAAATTAAAAAGAAACATGGTTGGTATGGTTTTAATAGAGGTTTTAATAAAATTAATGTTATATAAATAGTTTGTATAAAATATTTACATTGTTTTTTATTATGTAGATTGATGAGGGGTGGCTGATGCCTCGAAATCGATATCAATAAAAAGATAATGAGTTTGATAGTTGTCTAGTTCCTGAAAAGAAACTCAATAAATATGTAATTTGTTTTAAAAAAAAGACACTAAACACAGATGAATAGTAGCACGTATTGGGACAGTGAAAGTGATACATGGAATGAGAAAGGCACAATTTAGTCGCTCATTGATTATATTGTAAAAAAAAAATAGATCGCGCAAAAACGCTTTCTGTCAGTTAGTGCTGAAAGATTATAGAGTAAAACAGATACTTTTAAAGTTCTGAGGATGAGAAAAGAGGAAAACTAAGAATTCTAATAAATTTATTTTCAACTTTATCTAAAAATTCAGTATGAGAAGAAAAGTGTGGATTCCATACGATAGAAAATTCAAAAATAGGATGAAATGAGAGTTTTGTACAACGTCAGTGATAAATTGGGATTATGAAAATTACTGGTGTTTTTTTATAACAAAACCCAGAATTTTAAGAGCTTTTCTTATTAACACTGATAATATGCTCCTTAAATTTCAATTAGCAATCAAACAAGATACCCAAGTCTTTGACACAGGCTACTCTTTTTAGTGTGGAATTACTGAGAATAATTATAAAATGGTGTTGGAAGAACGATAAAAGGAAATTACTTAACAATTAGCTACTTTTAAATTTAGTGTTAATTTGACATGAGAAACGAAGTTTATCTATAGACTGTTGCGAGAGAAGAGTCTTGTGTTGACTGTACAGAGGGGAAAATGGTTTAGCAGAAAGAAAGGACATAAGGTCATTTATAAATATTAAAAATAATAAAGGGCCTAAATGTGAGCCCTGTGGGACTCCAGATGTAAATGAAATACGAGTACGATTCTAACACGATTTGGCTATCGTTTTTATGTTTGTTTTTTGACAAGCCACCAGCCCGTAAGTCGAAATACATTTTTTCACGAACATGTTTTATCCGTCCAAGTGGCAAATTATAAACAACAATAACTACAAATCTGAATTTAAAAAATCGTAAAATAGGAAATAGATTATAATGGCAGATTCGAATTTTGTTTATTCGTTCCATGGAAGTGTTTTCCGACTGACAACGACAAAATAATCGATAAACGAAGGGGAAAATCGTTCCTATGAATTAAGTACAAGTTATTTGGCGAGGATCGGACCATCACAGACTCCCACGTGAAAAACCCTTACAATCCGCTAACGAAATCGTCAAATAAGACTTGATTTGTACTTTTTCTCTTAAGAATCGACGATCGAACAAAGCAGAAAGGGGAACGGCTTTGCCAACGGGTTTTAAATTTGTATAGTAATTATCTGCAACATAATTTTTATAATTTTGTGACCGTGTAGCTCGTGGTTCCCTATCGTTGTCTGTCTGACGGCAGGAAGATCAAAACGATCGTCAACGACCGAACTGCATGTTCTTCAATATCGGGCTTTTGTTCTGTTTTCCCTTGTCAGTCACAAGTTGTACGGTAATGCAGTAAAAGGCAAATGAAGCATAAACAACACAAATTCAAATTTGGTATTTTTACGTTTTTTCATAAGAACCCTTCAAACGATTTTGTGTAACAAATATTTTAAATAATTCATAGAATATTTTGCCTTTCACTTTTTTCCTTAAATTTAACAATAATTTCATACATGTTTGGAAATGAAAAAACCTTGCAGTATTTCATACTGGTTTTTACATTATGACAAAAATATATGTATGTCATACAATTTACTATGCATGTAGACACTCACGGAATTGGGCAAGGAACAGTTGGGACATAAACATCGCAAAATGTAAACCGAGAAAGCCTCAATTATTTAATATTTCGAGGATTATTATTGAACACAAAAAGAGAAAATTGTAATTTTGTTTTCAAATTTTCTAAAATAATGCCAAAATTACCTGATTTCCCATGTTTTCCGGATAGGACGATTAACGAACATACACTTTTGAAATATTCAACTAAAATGAAAATACTAATATGAAACAATTTTTAAAAAAATCACTGTTGAACTGTCGACACGTTTCGTTGTGTCGTTAACATTGTAGTCCTCAATAGAAAAGACATGTTCCCAAAAAAGAGAGACGATGCGAAGCGACGGGCGACGAAGCGAAACTGACTGGGCCACTGATCGGGAGTCGAGACGGTAGAACTCGGAGGCTCTCAGCTGTGCCAAGTCGGTAGTTCTTTGTGACTTAGAAGAAACGGTTGTTTGACGGTAGGGCGGCTGTGAAAGGAGGGCACGCATGCGCCGTTCGGCACTTCTCTCGTATTCAGCCGAGAACCCTAAGGCGGAGGGAGAAGAAAAATAAGAAATCTACGAATCGGAACGTGCGAAGTGCCGACTGTCTTCTTCTTCTTTCTTTCTTTTTTTTCTTCTTCTTCTTCTTCTTCTTCTTCTTCTTTAAGAAATGGATTCGGGTTTATCGACCGCTTGTTTGACCTCCCCGGACTTCGCGTCTTCATCGCTTCCGGCGAATCGTGCTAAGCCCCCTGCCGAGGGTTCGCACATTCCACGACTCCTCCCGGCATACGATTAGGCCTGATGCTTCCTACTCGGATTGAACCCTTTAGTTGCATGGGCCTTTCTGGGAAGGATGCCAGCATAAAAAAATACTACTTTACGTGCGGTTGCGTGTTAAGAACAGAAATGGTGCACAATTTATTTTTGACTTTTCAAAAAGGTGGTTCTATTCACAATTTGTTTTCCACCAATGTATGCAAGCAACGATTTTTGGTGGGGTGTCTGAGTTCGATAATTCCTTCTTTTAAAGCTAATTTGTTTATTCTTTTTAGTAATAACCTATCGATAAATATTTCTTTCTATCCATTGTTTTTACACAGGTTTTAATTGTTTGTAATTCTTTTTTATAATAGCAGGTGCTAATGGGAGTTTCAACATACGGTCTATGAGCCAAATGACTCCAGCTGCTTTTTTGGGTCCATGCCCCATGGGTGAGAAGAATCCGCTGGTATCAGTGTCTGTAGTTGTTTTCTACATACATGTCTATTTCAATTAGGTAGGCTATTTACTATGGACAATTTTAAGTCTAATAAGTTTGAACATATATTCGGTTGAAATGGCTAAAATTTAATTTCAAAATTTTGGAGTTCTGTTGACATTTCAAGTACAGGTTAACCAAGATTGGGTTTTTGATTTTTCTCTATGCGCACATTTGTGATTTTTCGTAAGTTCAATAAAGCATTATTATTATTATTATGGACTATTTTATTAGGCTGTGTGTATCGATAGCTCGTCCCAATTTATTTTTCCCAGTTCGACATGATTTTGAATATGAAAGTTGGAAAAAACCAGACATGTTTCTGAAGAGGAGTTAAGTTTCCTTGCCACATGTTTAAATCAAAGGGGAACGAGAAAATATATACTGATAAAAGGTTACAGTTTATGTCCAAAGTTAGAGTGCACTTATGGACAAGATTAAATAATATGCAGTGCACGTATTGGGAGTTCATCCAAATAAAATACAAAATAATCCAATTTTAAAGCCGTAAAGAAAATAATCATATTTAAATAAACATTTTATCAATTGTAATTATGTGGCTCATAAAAAATTTATTTACCTTAATTAATGTTTTATATCCTTTAAGCATGTCGAGAACAAAATGATTCAACCATCTTTCGGGCCTCTTGTGGAAGCTAAACAGCATCCTACCCAGTACCTACTACCTTATCCTAAAATTTTGTCTCACCGTTATTTCAGAGTCAGTGCATAGAGATATCTTCTGCCTATCCTATCCAAGCTGGTGTCCCACAGGGGAGCATTCGTGGATTTTACATGATATATACTGCTTACACTTCTATCCTTCCAGAAACAATTCTCTCCATTTTTTTCTGGTTATACATCAATCCTCCCCTCCCCATAAAGATACAGTCTAACCATAAAGAAACCTTCAACCATTTACAGTGTCTCAACATTTGGACCAAAAGTGGAGAATTAAAATAAATATAAAGAAGAGCCAATGTATTAATGTTTAACTCAGATGTATAACACTACCACCTGTTTACTTTAACATTTCACTGCCCCCTGTCAAACATGGGACATCACCTGGGCAAATGACATACTTAGAATGTGTACCTAAGACTAAAACGAAGTGAACTATACAGACGTTACAAACTGTTATCACCACTACTCGATAGACGATCGAAACTTCCAATTAATTACAAAATATTAATATACACCATGGTTCCCAAACCTATGTGGACTTATGGTATGTAACTCTAGAGGTCAACCAAGCATTCCAACTCCTAATGCATTAGGACGAATAAAATTGAAAAGTGGACAGTATTTATGTCTTTTAAAGGAGGCTCGCCACCTGGTAATTTGTCCTCACGCTTTTTCATGTGACTTTATTCTTATAACATTTTTATCGTTGTAATTGTTTTACAGATGTAAATATCAATAAAAAGGAAAAAAAGACATGCAGCTCTAGGCGACCCTCGAGGGATATGACTAGAAGGTCAACCTCACCTGATTAAGATAGGCCATGCAAGGATAGATACACCGACACATACTTTTAGGCCAAAGCCCAGCATGCAGAGAAAGGTTGCTTGATGTGTCTCACCTAATTGAAAGGTGCAAATTCCTTGGCTCCATGTAGAGAGCGTGGAGGAATGACACCTGTTATGAGAATTGTGCTAAAGCATGGCACCGGGTATTTTGATCTGATCCGACTTAAAGAAAACAGAGCTGTTTTATTGTATATAGTACTGATAGTTTTGTGTCCAAAGCATGCGTTGAGAATGAATGTCTTTATTAGCAAGAATGTGAAGTGTGAAATGGTTTAAGGCAATATGTTGAGTACTCCATCAAACATCAAAAATCCTCATTTGAAAAGCAGCAACTATATAATACAAGTAAAATTTTTTTGGTTTTCTATATCCAGAATTTGTGCCTTTTTTCAATTTTTTAAAACAGTTCATTACTTAAAAACTCTACATTTATCCTCAGTAACTATTTTCTCACCATATTCATCAAATTTCCTCTCACTTTATTATTCCTTTTTCTCATTTATGTGTCACCAATTTTAATTTTCATATGTCGCAGCACTTACAAAGCCAACCATCCTTTAATCAAACCAATTTTTTTTTCTTCAAGAGACCCGACTTAGGGATATTTTACCTTTATTCTGCATGATCAGTTTTTAAAGATATTGATTAGACAAGAAAGTTTCCTTTTGCTAAGATATAAGCTTTAACTTGTCAAGCTAGAGAATAACGTTAAAATCTGCCATTCCATCATTATAGATATGGTTATTTTTCAAAATGATTTACACATATTCATTTCTTTATCAAATTTGTAGATCAAAAACTGGGAAAACAAACCCATGATATTATTGAATCTGTAGGCACAAAAAGTTCAATAATCTAAGTGGGAAAAATCACCAGATGACAAGAACATTGAGCCATTGACCTTCACCAATTAGAACCTATTTAGAAATGCAATCCATCTTGTTTTGATAACAAGCTTTGTGACATTCGATTGACTTATTGCCTGCCCATTGAAAAAACAAAATAATTCGCTTCATTTCTTGTCATCGTCCAGCAGGTTTTACAGCAGTAGCAAACATATTGCACTTAATCCACAACTGTGCAACTATCTTCAAAATAAAAATAAACTTTTCAATCGTTTTTGAAAATATATTTTGACAATTTTTTTATGCAATATGAAAATTAACATTCTCAGGGAATTAACATTTAATAATTATCTAATTACAAAAATAATTAAACTCTGTGCTATATTTCATAAAATATAAATATCCCGACTGATTCCTTTTTGAACACTTGAAATAACTATATTATAAAATGGTGCATAAATTCTTTACAAATTCAATTAACAATGTGTTGTCCTCTTAAATAATAACATTAAACATTATTTAAGGTCAACCTCCTTCAAGAATGGCTATAAATACATAATACTTAGGATTTATGCCTTGTCCAAACAGCACTAAAAATTAGTTAACACAAATTTTGGACAAATGGTGTGCCATTTAAACTATTTACTTTTATAATAAATAACATCTGTAAGACTAAATTATGTCAATCACAATTTTATGTATTGCACCTGAAAAAAGGTTATATTTTATAATTGATATACTGTATTACCTTGGAAGTGTTTAATTTGTGTTTTAAACAGAAAAAGTCAGCCTTTGGATAATGGATATGTTCACCGAAGTGTTTTGATTTCTTTTATTACAAAATTGTATATTTTAATCACAATTATTTGTTCAATACAATTAATTATAATTATTAACTAATTATTTTTAATTATTAAGTGAATACAGGTGTAAATATAAAAATAAAACCTCGTTCCATTAAGTATGAATCGCTGGAAAATAAAAAATTTAAAAAAATTGGTAACATTTTAAATGCATTGTATACACCCACGGGCCAATTGATTTTGTAATACTATCACAATATATCACTTGAAATTTTCCCAATTTCGGGGGCGAGGAATGCTTTTAAAACTGACACTTTAAATAATGAAATGAAAAATCAAGCTGTTTTAAGTACTAGACTTTTTTTGGTAATTTTCTATAAAAGGTTTGTTAAGCTATGAGTACCGTAAGTTTCCTTTTCATGGAGATTCAGGCTTTTGACAAGGGTTTTATCACAAATGATAGAGTGATCATGCCTTTGGCATAGAATCATCCTCAGCTGTGGGTAGTTTTTCATAATCCCCTTGGCCATCACCAGACTCCCTAGTAGGTCCTGAAATTAACCAATGATCCATTTTAATAGCATATAACAATTTCACTTAAATAGGTTGTGTTATATATTACATGGTGTCACTTTTTTTTTTTTTTAATAATTAATTTTAATTTGGCAGGATAAGAGTTTTATAATTTATAAACTTAAAGACCTATATATACCTCTGATAAGTTGGACCAGCGAGTCTTCAAAGCGAAAGTATGTCGCTAGGTCAGGGTCAAATCCCAAAACAGTAAACATTGCAGATTCCTTCCACCTCCAGAACACAGCTTCTTGACCCCTCGCTCTTAAATCTTCTACAATCATTTTCAAACCCTGGAAGGAAGAAATCGTAATTAGTTCAACAAAGTAGACTGGTTTAAAAGTTGCACTTACTTTAGCCATGGTTGAGTCAATGTAATGTATATGAGTACCATCAATGACGACTTTTGCTGAACTTCTCCTTGCAACACAACTTTGGAGAATGACTTCTCTGATGTAGTCACTAGCAGGGAAAACGAGGGACTGTGTCGGTGTTACCAAAAGAACCTCTACCTCAGATACCTATGACAAACAATGTAAATTTATTATTTGGACGTCAACTGATCAAATTGGCTTTAATGTAAAAATTACCCAAAGCCACTGGAGAGCAACAGATGGTCTAGCCGACTGATAGAGGATAAAAAGGAGATTAACTGTTATTCCTACTAGCATTCCATACTCTAAGCCGAAAAATAGACATGATAAGAGTGTACATGCTAAAGGAACCAGGTCCAACTCTGAAATAAAAACAAAATTAATAAAGTTTATTAATTGATTTATTTAATAATATTAAGTGAAACGCTTTACTTTTAGTCCTCCACAGCATTGTGACTGCATGGTACTCAACCATGTAAAACATGGCGCACACGATAACACCGGATAGTGTTGCCTTAGGTATAAAATAGAAAGTGGATGTTAGAAAGCTTAATGATAAAAGAACAAGGGCACCTAAAACGAAGCAAAATATTAAGGTAAAATGTATTATTATTTTTTCTTCTAAACAATAAAAACAAACGGATGATTCTGTATACCTGTAAAGACTCCACCAAAAGGTGTGACAACTCCAGAAGCATGATTCACAGCCGTTCTTGTGAATGACCCTGTAGTCGGAAATGAACTAAAAAAGGATCCTGCAATATTGCACATACCCAATGCAATCATTTCTTGAGTTGCATCTATAGTTTTCCCTTTTGCTACAAAAATTAACATTTTTTAGATAAGTATATATTACATACGGATAATACATAAAAGCTTGAAGCTTAAAAAAATAATAAATACCAAAAGCTTTGGCGATGGCTATACTTTCTAAAATTGCAATAAGAGGAACAACAACAATTGCTGAACCCATCTCTTTAGTCATATCGATAAAACCTAAAGTTTCATTTCCAGATTTTGTCGAAAAAGGAGGCAGACGAAAAGGAGGTAAACCAGAACCGACCGTTCCTAAAATCAACAACAAAATTTTAACATTTCAGTTTATCACATTTAAAATTTCAAACATACCTGTTAGAAGAAAAGGTTGCAAACCATAAAGTGAGATTACATAGGCGAGCAAGGTGCCAACAATTACAACAACAGCATTTCTAGCTAAACCTAGCAACCAAGCGGCTTTTTTTATTCCATGTTTCAGAGGCGTATCACCATTCCAAGTTTCTGAAACTTCTTTCAATTTCTAGAAAATACATATTGTAAATTAAAACATATTTGGAACTCCTTAACAATAGATAAAATTGGGTGTTGCGCTTTTTTGCTACAACAAATAAAATCATTGAGAAAAGGTCTCACCTTACAGAGCACAAGAATTATGATTGTGCAGACACCAAGGAGAGTGTCCCAAATTCTCAGTTCTGTTATGTGCTCATAAACGTTAATCCAGGCATCTACAAAGCTGTGCGTTTTCCCTGGGAGGCCGAGCAAGCCTTTTATCTGTGACGAGGCAATTGTCATTGCGGCAGCTGAAGTAAAACCGACAGTAACCGGCATAGATATAAACTCGACCAAAAACCCTGTAATTTTTCAAATTTTTAATCTTGAAGGAGATGCAATCAAATGAAAACACACCAAGCCTTAACAACCCCAGTACAAATATGACGGCTCCTGAGAGAAAAGCCATAAGAATGGCAAAGTCGGCTCCATGAGATTCTACGTACTTCTGTGTCATTAGTGCCATTATCGCAGTCGGCCCAATTGTTATGTCTTTACAACTGCCGAGTATCATGTAAACAAAACATCCCATGAATCCAGAATACAGCCCATACTAAAAAAAAAGTCAAACGTCAAAACAATATTTGTGTTGCATGTAAACAACTTACCTGAGGTTGAAGCCCGGCTACAACGGCATACGCGATTCCTTGAGGGATCGCAGTCAAGCCAACGGTCAATCCGGCGATGAAGTCTTTAAGGAGAAAGTCCAAACTATATTTGGGCAGCCAGTTGAGAATCGGCAACCTGTCGAAATTACACACTTTCAAATGAACAGATACAATTCTTCAACTCGAGCTTTTACCTCTTCTGAAGGTGGTCTTTTTGGCAGCATTCGGCCATGTTAAATTTAAATTTAAAGGATGAGTCGTATCCATCATCAACCTCTATCACGTCATCTTTTTTCTTATCTCCTGAAACAAACAAATAAAAGACAAGTTTTAACCAAAATTAGTTTCCGTTCAAATAAGTCCGATATTTAACACGTTGACAAAGCGGGTATAAACTTACAAATATGAATCTAGACTCTGCACTTGGAAATCCCCCCTTGAAGAACAATATTCTTAACATAATCTTAAACCGTTCGTTAATCCGTTTCGTCTGGCGTCTGTGGAATGTGCGAATCTGTATATCCGTGTATTTAAAATTTTAATCTTGGTTTATCTCATCCCATATTTGTGTGATAGTCAGTAGTCCTTGGGTTAACAGAGCGCGTCCAGTGTCCACCGATGCCGGTTTTATATGAATCACGAAATTTGGCGATTAACGGAAAAACTGATGGTGGAAATTTGTCGAGCCTTCCACGGCCGTGATCCTATATCGCCGGCCCTGATTCTGTTAATTGTTCGAATCCTTCACGGTCCGCCTAGCCTATTATCGTTTCATAACTGACTCGTGTTTAAGATTCCTCCCGATTATCAGACCGTATTTTAATTTTATTAATAAAATTACCTTTAAATGAAAATTATATAGGAAAGATTGCATACATTAGCCCTTCTTGGTAGGGAGAAAAACATCTTTCTGATAAAAGGACGAATTTTTTGTTGGCAAGGTCTAAAGCTTCCTAGAAGTGGGAGGGCGCCCCTGTGATAAGACTCATCTTTCTCGATAATTAACAAAAACTCCCACATTTTCGTCTTGGAATTAGTTGGAATACAGTCCGCTTATGGGAAAAGAAAGCTGCACAATTGAGGAGCACGGAAATTCTAAGCAACGACTAAAGGTCGATTCACACACATCAGTGACGTGACAGTGCAGTGACCGGCATTTTGTCCCACCAGCGGGTTTGAAAATATTCTTGGAAACTGAATGGCGCACTGTTTGTTGTTAACCCCGACCGTGGCTGTGCCACCAGTGCTGCCGTTGTCACCGGACCGTGATCGAAGGATCTCTTGTTGACGATAATTTAGTTTTCACGGCCGTACATCATGAATGACGAAAAATTCATTGAGTTCGTGCGAAATAATCCTGGTCGTTTGATGAGGCAAATTCAAAATACATGGACTCAGATTTCAAGAATAATCTCTGGAAGAAAAAGGAAAAATGGATACGGGAGAGATCCAGCATCAGAGATGAAATAATCAGAGAATGCATCTGTCATTGAGTTCCTTCCCTACAATGTAAATTTTGTAGTGTTCGACTTTTACTCGTCGAATCCTCTAGGGAAGTAACATGATTATACGTGCGTATATCATATTTCTTAATGTATTAAGAAGTTTAAGTCTTACGTTACACAGCACGCATCCATCGTCCACTAATTCTTTGTAAAGTGTAGCAAATTCCCCTTCTGACCCTCTCTTGTTCCATGTTTGGAGGACCAACTTCCGTTTTCTCGCTTGTGGTTCCTTTCTTCATCCAAAATCTGTGCGTTTAATGAAAAGTTCATCTTCATTGCCATTTTGGCCACTCAGGTCCGCTGCAAGGCACGGCGAAATACTGATCAGTGTGAATAGAGAGCCCTGTTTGAACCAGAGTTGGGCAAAATCTAACTAATTCAAAAATCTAACTAATTCAATCATGATTAAGAATTTTGATTGAAGTTTAATCATGACTGAATTAGTCATGAGTAAATTAATCATTATATGATTAAGTCATGTGTATAATTCAATCATGAGGTATGACTAAATCATACAATGATTAATTTACTTATGACTAATTCAATCATGATTAAACATCAATCAAAATTCTTAATCATGTTGAATTAGTTAGATTTTGCCCAACTCTGGCTACAATGACCAATTTACCAAAATCCAACAGACTCCGGATTAAAATTTTGAGATGAGTCGTGCTCAAGGCTGACCTTCAAAAAGTCGTATCATAAACGAAAACCAAAGTTACATAATTATTCTACATATCTATTTTATTACAATTAAGACCCCTAGATGGTGTATTTTCCAAATAATGTAGAAATCTCTCCTTTCAAGTGGAATAAATTTTAATTCAAAGAAATATTTTTTCCATTTATCGGTTACGTAAACATATTTACTTTTCAAAGCGTAGCTTGTTCTAAGATTTTTTAATTTTATTATATTATTATTATCATATCATTATTTTTTTGGCTTTTCATAACGACTTAGTTTTACTTATAATTGGAATATTGATTTTTGTTAAATAAGGTGTTGAAGGATTTTCGTTTTGATGAAATAAATTTCTGTTAGAAAATTTTTTAAAAGTGATGAAGGTGTGTATTTTTCATTTTTTGAGCACCCATTTGAACATGACTTATCGAAATTTAGTCATGACTAACTATATTGTGACTAAATTAGTCGTGTCTCGTATTTAATTACTAGTCATGACTAACGGTCTGGAGTGATCAATCATTAATCATTAGACATGACTAATTTTTGCCCAACACTGGTACGAACACAGTGGTCGGGAATAAGGGCCGTCACAACACTGTCACGTCACTGATTTGTGTGTGAATCGACCTTTAGTCTCTCTCAATCTCTAATACCGTCGACCCTATCAAATAAAACAAATTTTGTTTGGTTTTAAATAGATGTTTATTAAAAGGCTGCTTTGATTTTATCAAATTGAGGTCAAATACACGGATGGCCAAATTAAACGCACCACTCAATTTATTTAGTTTAAAATTAAATCCATTATCTTTCTATATTAGTTATGATCACTTTCAGTTTTTTCTTCATTTATTTTATTTGATATTCTTATTCTACAACCTTTTTAATGGCTCCAAGGAAAGTGCTCAGTTTTGTAAGGAATAGTTATTAGGAAGCGCACTTTCCAAGGTATGGCTGTAAGCTATAGGGGTTCAACAATAGACCTGCTTAGGTCGCAGTGGAGGAAAGAACTGTCTTTTGCATCAACCCCCAAACCCTTAAAAAAAGGGGAGGTCTCTTTCTCCTTTCAGGGCGAAGAATATTGTGTGAAGATCTCTTGGGCTTGATGTGGTATAAGTGTTTGACCGCGAGCCTCCTCTACAAACTAAATCGTATCCTTTCAAATACCCTCTACTCGATCCGACGCTCTTCCCTAACAGAGCGGTTCTTTCGGGTCCGACAAGATCAGATTACTCGGAATACTGCTCTCTGCCCGCAGGCATACGACAGGGCAGTGTGCTCGAACCACTCCTCTATGTCCCTTATTGCGCAGATGTTCCCACTGCACCTACCACCCTCCTGCATCTTTTGCCGATGACACGGCTGTACTCTCCTCTGACCCCGATCCTGCGGTTGCTTCGGAAGATCTGCACGGACATATCACATGTAAGCAGACCTTAATATTCCAACACACATTGTCAAATCATTGTCCAACAGAACCCGTCCCTACAATCCCATAAGACGTCTCGAGAGGATGGCCCCTCGACCTCCTTTCTGAGTAGGCAATGAAGTTTAATTACTGAAGTGAAGTGGGAAAATAATATTGATTATTTGCTACCATCAATCTAAATATGTTCATAATTGGAAATATCCCTATGCATCTTCAAATTAAATTACGTATTGTAAACAAAAATTCCAAATCGTAATAAAATATTTTTAAAAGAATTTGTAAAACGGATAAAGAGAAATCAGTTCCGAGAAATGAATATATTTTGGGGTAGCCCTCTTCAGCATACGATATCTCTTTTCATTAAATCAGGTGCGTGTACAGGAAGACAAATTCTGAAATATGGAGGAAAAATTCAATTTATAGGAAGAATGAATGATTCCTTGGTTAATTAAAATTTTGAAATACATATACTACTTTTAAAAGAAAGTGCAAAATTGTACAATTAAATAAAAAATGTAAGTTACGATCTGGACAACGTCAAGACCTACGATTCAGCTAGTCGTTCTGTTTATTTTTAAAAATGTAATGGATCAGCAGAGCTCCCCTGGTACAAATTTCACTTTTTCTCGCAAAACGCTGGGTAGGAGTTTTCTCGTCTACTCATCTATTTCGCTTTTTCTCGTTGGTTTGGGGGTAAATATTTTTACAATTTTCCCCATTAACAAACAATTAGGTGCACATTAAATTCTAAGATATTTTTAACAGAATGTCAAAGAGTAAGGGCTGGGACATAGAATATAATTAGAATATAATTTGTACAAGTTGTGTGAATTATGTAATGTAATAAAATATAAAATAAATAAAAAAGCTAGTAAATAAAGACATCATTCTATAAAAAAGTTAATATTGATTTTACCTAATACGAAACTAAGAGATTGAGTTATAAAAAAGTCTATACTATTAGACCTGTATTAAAACGATTACACAGCGATTCACGCGTTTGGCGAATTTGTGGACTAAAGGCCTCCTGCACTCAAAAAATTATATTTAAAAAAAATTGATCCACATTTTTTGGAATTATGAGAAGGGCAGTGTATTTTAAGATTTATTTGTATCCTGTACGTCAATGTACATATTATAAATGTTATGAACGCTTTAGACTAACACTATGGCCAGCACTGCACGTGGAGAAAACATGTTACAAGAAGTCGAAAATTCCCGAAACATCCAAGTAAATATTAATAAATAATGTTTTTACATTATTATTTAATGATTATTCAGAGAGCGTGAGATGCGGTCTAGTGTGACGTGTTTAGAAAAAAATTTTCTTTATCGTACCACCGTTTCTATCTTAATTGAGATCATCTTCAGAGCCTGGGATTTATAAACATTGTTTAAATTTTACAATTACATGTAGGATATGGAAAAAAAAGTGAATTTATACAATGCAGAAAAATATTTTTTATATTCAATCAAAGTATTGTACTCACTCAACAAATTCTTTGATTGAATATAAAATCCTACATGTATTTGTTAAATTTAAACAATGTTTGCAAAGGCTCTGAAGATGATCTCAATAAATATCGAAACGTTGGCACGATCAAGAAAATGTTTTTCTGAAACCTACATCACACCAGACCGCATCTCACGATATCCGAATAATCATTGACTAACGGTCACTAAACACCACACATTATTATTCAAAAAATCCACATCCACATGCAAATGTCTGAGATTAACCAACAAATTTAAATAGAATTTTATAAATAATTGTCTCATTTAGCCTTTGTCGTCGAAAAATTCGTATCGATTTTTCTCGGTTTAATGAACTCTTCGGTCATCAGAATCGACTGTTCAGCAGAATTACAAATAATAAGTATACCGATTTTCTATTTTATTAATTAATTGTATTCATCTATGAGAGTTTACTTGTTTTTGAATTAATGATTTTTCGTTTCTTAGATAATTGATGTGATTATTGCAACTACAATTTGAAAAAACGACCACTTGAGTAGTTACTTCCTGGTCTGCCTATCCTGTTTTTTTATTCTTGTTAATTCAGGCGCGTTTCTGCATTTCGCCATATCACCCAAACACTGAAGATGGCGAAATGCCGTAACGTGTCTGAATTAATAAAAATCAGCAAGGATGGCAAACCAGGATGGTAGGTAACATTTTAATTTTAATCTTTCTC